CTACTACTACTACTACTACTACTACTACTACTACTACTACTACTACTTTGGCTGTACCTAGTATGTACATGGCAGAATGGATAGAGTGCTTGGCCTGGAGTTAGGAAGACTTATCTCCTTTAGTTCAAATCTGGCCTTAGACACTTATTTAGCGGCATGATCCTGGGAAAGTCACTTAACTCTGTTTGTCTCAGTTTCTTCATCTGTAAAATTAACTGGATAAGGAAATGGCAAACCACTCCAGTCTCTTTGCCAAGAAAACCCCAAAGGGAGTCATGAAGAGTTGGACACAACTGAACAATAACAGCAAATATATAATCAATGTGGGGAACTCCTAATGTGACTGTAGTCTAGGAGACTAGACCTTGAAGACATTAAATGACATGCCTATGGTTAGCAGCCAGAATATGCTTGATACAAGACTTGACCCCAGGTCTTCCTAACTCTTAAAGCTGGCTTTCTATCCCCTATGCCATGAAGCTTCTTCTTATAATCATTATAAGAGTCTCCAAGGTGTGGGGAGGGAGGGTGAAATTAAAGGAAGGAAACATATACCCCTGGGACTTGTGACTCAGTTTCACTGGATCTTGATGGTGGGGGGAAGGTGTGGGGCTCTCCACAGGTAAAGGAACAACAGCAGTGGATGAAGAAGGTGGCTGTCTTTTGGCACCCCTGGCTTGACAGTGACTGTTAAGTTAGATGAAGCCCACAGTGGACAAGGCAACCCACAGTTGTACCTTCTGAATGAAAGAAACATCCCTAATGGAACTTCTCCAATCCTGGATTCAGGGTTTCTAGAAGAGTACTTCTAGAAGGTGGGGGTGGGATGGGGTGATGGTATGTGTCTGTCTTGGTGAGTTAGTCCTCAAAGGTATGGTGATCAAATGTATTAAAGGAAGGATACGAGAGACTGTAGAAGAGTAAGAGAGCTTGGGCAGCTGTAAACTGAGCCAGTATATTCTGCACCTAATAAATCAGAATGATTCTACTCTTCCCACTACCCTGAATCTCCCTCTGTGTGTGTGTGTGTGTGTGTGTGTGTGTGTGTGTGTGTGTGTGTTTAGGAGGTAGATTCCTACCAGGGTAGTTGTGTGTTGTGGACTGAAGACCCAAACATCTGAGTTCTAGTCCTTTCTCTACCATTATTTGTGTGACTTTGAATGAATGGCTTTGTATCATTGGTTTAGAGTCCTCTTACTGCTGCCTCCCAGATTTGTCCTATTTCTCCTTGGATCGGTCAACAAGTGCTTATTTAGATGTTGGATGTACAAAGACAAAAAAAAAGAAGGCTGAATAGAATGCTAAGGTAGAATAAATAACCAAATGCTTATTCAGTGTCTACTGTATGCATGGACCTATGAAGACCAAAAAACCAAAACAAAAAACAAATCAATTGTTTGCCTCCAGAGAGCTTGTGTTCTCTTGGTATACATTATAAGAAAAGATATCTGCAGCTAGAATGGGCCAAATTAGATGAAAGTTAATGGGGATAAATGTAAAATCCTACACTTGGGTTCAAAGAGTCAGCAATACAGATATAGGGCAAAGGAGTCACGTAGATTATACCTCCCTGATAGCTCTCATATCCATCTTTATATCTCTACTTGGTTACCACTGTAATTCAAACCCTCACCTCTCTTAGGAACTATCACAGTTTCCCCTAGTTGTCTTCCCTGCGTCCAGTTTCCCTTTTTTTCTGACCCATCTTTTTTTTTCTTTTGGGGTAGGCACTGGGGTTAAGTGACTTACCCAGGGTCACACAGCTAGTAAGTGTTATATGTCTGAGGCTGGATTTGAACTCAGGTCCTCCTGACTCCAAGGCTGGAGCTCTATCCACTGTGCCACTTAGCTGCCCCCTGACCCGTCTTTCACATAACACCAAATTGACATTCCCAAACCACAGATCTGCCCATGGTACTCCCTTGCTCATGGAGCCTCAGTAGCTCACTATTACCTTGAGATAAAATAGTACAAACTCCTATGTTTTATACTTAAAGCCTTTAACAATCCAGCTCAAGCTGATCTTTCCAGGCTGATCATACATGTCTTTTCTTCATGTACTCCATCTTCCAATAAAACTGGCCCACTTGCTCTTCTCATACACAACATCCCATATCCTGCCTTCATGCCTTTGTATAAGTTTGTACAAGTTGTCTCCCATGCCAAGGATGAATCCCCTCCCCCTATGACACTTGGAACCACTAGCTCCCTTCAAGGGTCAAGTCAAGAGCCTCCTGCTAAAAGAAGCCTTCTTTGATCTCCCAGCTATTGGTTCTAATCCCCTTTCAAATTACTTTCTGTTTATATTTACTTGTATTCATATAGTTTTCCTGCAATAGAATATAAACTCCTTGAGGACAGGAACTGTTTGTTTTTTGTCTTTATATCCTAAGTGCTTAGGACAGTTGTGTGCCACTAGTAGTTGTCAATATTTGTTGATGATTCAAAAATTCATTTCAGTCCAATATTAAATATTTACATTGTGCTAGTCCTGTCCTAGGCACTGGGAATACAAAAACAATAGAAGGAACAATCCCTCCTCACAAAGACATATTTGAATGGTGAAGACGACAGAAACCTATACAGGTTTGTGCAGAATAAATACAAATAAAGTCAAAGAAGCTAAATTCATGGTAGTTTGGGGGAGGAGAAGGGTACCGGTAGACAAGGGGATCCAAAAAGGCTTTATTTAGAAAGCAATAAATAATCTTTGTCTGGAAGGAAGAGAAGGTCTCTATGAGGCAGAGGTGAAGAAGGAGCACATTCCAGGTATCCAGGATGGCTAGTGGAAATGGGATAAGACTGTCATATGTGAGGACCATAGAGAAGGCCAGTTTTGCTGGATCATGGAGTGTAAGAAAGGAGAACAATGAGGCTGGAAAAAAGATTGGGGCCATGTTGTGAAGGGTTGGGGAAAGTTAAACAGAGGAGCTTATATATTATATTTTTATTATTATTTTCATTAGCAATAGGGAGCCACTATAGGTTATTGAGTAGGGGAATGATGTGGACAGATTTTTATTTAAGAAAAATCACTCTGGCAGCAGAGTGCAGGATTGATGCTTGTGCTATGGAGACCAATTGGGAGGCTATTGAAATAATCTAGGCAAGAAGTAATGAAGGTGTGAGTAGAGAAAAAGGGTTGCATGTGAGGTAGAAATGACAATAATGATTATATGATACATATGAAAAATAATTGAAGGTGGAGAGCAAACTCAATCTGAATCAATAGTGTCATTTTTGGCTATATTAGTAGAAAGGTAGTGTTCAGATAGGGCAGCTAGGTGCGTGGAGTGCCAGGCCTGGAGGCAGGAAGACTGAGTTCAAATCTGCCTGAGACACTTACTAGCTATGTGATTTTGGGCAAGTCACTTAACCCTGTTTGCCTCAGTTTCTTCAGCTGTAAAATGACCTCAAGAAGGAAATGGCAAACCACTTCAATATCTTTGCCAGGAAAACTCCAGATGGGGTCATGAAAAGTTGGACTTGACTGAAGATGACCAAACAACAAAAGTGTTCAGAACAAGGGAATGATAGATCTATTGTACTCTGCCCTGGTTAGATCATATCTGGAGTTTTGAGCTCAGTTCTGGACACCACATTTTAGAAAGCACACTGACAAATTTGGAGGGTGGCTAGGGTGGGTAAGAAGACTAGAAATCATGCCATATAAAGATTTTGCTTGGAGAAGAAAACTTGAGAGAGGTGGGATGATAGTTGTCTTGAAATATTTGAGGAACTGTCACAAGACTTCTTGATCTCAGAGGGCAGAAATATTAGCCATGGATTGAACCTGTGAAGGTGGTAGATTCCTTATCAATCCAGAAGCTGGATGCCCATTTATCAAGTATGTTGTAGAGAGGAATCTTATTGAAGCATGGCTTAAATTAGAAGACTTCTGAAGCCTGTCCAGCTCTGAGATTCTGTGATTCATAGGATTTTATATTTAGATTTGGAAAGGACCTTAGAGCCCATGGAGTTCAATCCCCTCATTTTACAGATGAGGAAACTGAGACTCAGACAAGTTAAGGGATTTGTCCATGATTACACAGCTAGCAAGTGTCTGACACAGGATTTAAACTCAGGTATTCCTGACTCCAAGTGTGATGCTTGATCCACTCCATCATACAACCTTTGATCCCTATTTTGTCTCTCGAATTCTGAGAAAGGCTCTAATTTTCTTTCTAATTATCTATATAGTTTGCATTTTCTTTGGATAACAGCTTATATACCCCCGAGACCTCACTTTTTGTTTCTAGGCTCTTAAAATACAATTGGCATCTTGTTGCTAAAAACCACAATGAATTTTTTATGGTGCTTACACAAGGAAATGCAATTAGCATTTTGGAACACAATCTTGTAAGTTTATCAGCATTTTTTTTTTTGCAGTTATAAGAGGAGGAGGAAGGAGCGAATGCATATTCGTTACCAGAAGATCCTCCCCTCTGCTTGCTGTGCCTTAAGCAGCTACCACTGCCATCTCATTGTCTGGAAACGTGGCTATTGTGGTCATCAACTTGTGGTTTAGACTCCTTGCCCCACGGAAGGCAAACACAGTTTGGAGACTGTTGAACAAAGACCTGATTTCACTGAGACTGTACTGTTTCTGTAACTTTCTCTCTGTCTCTGTATCACTGTCTGTCTCTATCTCTGTTTCTGTCTCTCTTTCTGTCTCTGTCTCTATCTCTCTCTTTCTATCTCTGTCTTTCTCTTTCTGTCTCTGTCTCTCTCCCACCCCTCCCCTCTCTGATTCAGTGTTGAACTCTCAAATGCAGAAACCCTTGCATGAGGGCTGTACCCAAGGTACCTGCCAAAGCTGGAATTGCCCTCTTGAGCTGAGTAGACATGTACATTTTTGCTAAAGAAACCTCTCAGTGCACCAGTTATAAGTTAAGTTGGAAAAGCCTGCTTTCAGTTTCTTTCCTCTCAGACAGTGAAAGCCCTAGTGCTCTGGTTGTAAGTGGCCATAAATTGCATTTTTGGGGGGAAAGGATTTCTGCCTCCCCCTTAACTTGCTGCATTCCAAAAGCAGGCAAAAATGAAGTCCTCAAGAGACTGACCAGCTCCCGGTCATAGGCCATGGGAAGGGTGGCTGATTTTCAGTCAGTTAGTCAGCAAGGAGGTACTCTCAGAAGCCCCATTTGTGGGAGGCTTCCATTCCTCAAGGACACACCTCTCAGGTGCCTGTGCTCAATGTCTCATGCCCTGCCATTTTATTCGGTTAATTGGAGAAACTCCTCACCTGGATCATTGACTCCCCTATATTACCCCCTATATTACATTGCTTCAAGTCGGAGTCCTTTAGTTTTTTCTCTTCATCACTACCTATTAATATGAGATGTCTGCCTTGCTCTTGTGTTTGATTTTCCCACCTTTGAAGGCCCACTCTCAGGCCATAATGTTCCAGATTGAGAGTTCTCACCTAGACACAGAGTCTCACTGAAATCTAGAGAACTTACTTCACAATCTCCCTGTGAGGTAAGTAGTACAAATATTATTTCCTCCATCCTACTTGTGTGTATGTGAAATGGTAGTCTTCTCTAGTGTGGGAGGGGAGGGAGGGACACAATTTAGAACTTAAACACATACATACATATACGTACACACATGTACATATACACATACACACACATATATAAATATACATACACACTCACACAATACTATGCATACTTCTATTTGTCAGTTCTTTCTCCAGAGGCAGAGAGCTTCTTCATTCATAGGTACTTTGTAGTTGATTTGAATATTTGTAATACTAAGAATAACCTAGTTATTTACAGATATTCTCTATTCATTTATTTATTTTTT